AAATGCAAGTCTCAACCATCTACCCCAAAGAGTACACCTTTGCATCAATAAGAAGCATACCTTTTATGGAAATTGATGACAAAGGGGGAGAGATTGTACAAAGATATGAAGCTTGGGGAGAGATTGTACAAAGGGGAAGAGATAAGAAGATAAGATATGAAAGAGGTTGGACATAGACATGGACAAAGAGGGAACAACATTGGAAAAAAGAGTGGATCACAAGTCTTGGACAAGAGAAGCACACAAGTAGGGGGAGCAAGCTCATAAACTTTGATTGATTGCATTTGATATGTGCATAATCATGTGCTTGCTTGCATTGCATAAGTTTTCAAATTCAATATGCATGCTTGTGTGGTGTATGCTAGTTAAATAACTTGAATGATGATTTGATAACTAGCATGCATAGGATGATAGCTAGACACTTAGTATATTCTTTAAGTAATGCTAGTACCTTGATTTTAATGTTGATCTAATGAGGTATCTAGTGCTTTTATTTCCAAGTGATATCTAGCTAACCATGGTGCTAAGGATGAACTTAAAGGTGCAACTACGATTGGTACACGCTTCAAAGGTTTATTCTATACACCTTAGCATCATTTTGTAGTATTTACTCTCCCACAATTTCAATCTATGCATATGTGCAAGCTTCAAATTAAATACACTAGCACATATATAGGGGAGCTAATACTACCATTTCAGGGGTTTGTGGTACTTGTCCAAAATCATTTTCACATGGTAAAATTGCTTGGGCAAGCAACATGAATCCAAAAGAGCTTAATTTTCATATCTTTGTAGAGTTGTCATCAATTACCAAAAGGGGGAGATTGAAAGGTCCTTGTTGGTTTTGGTAATTGAGTGACAACAACCTAGGTGGACTAATTGTGTTTATGTGAGATACACGGTGATTAGTCCACGGTACGTACATGTGTGAGCAACATATGCCATGGAGGTGAAAATGGCTTAGAGATGTTGCAAAGCTCACACATGTGATGATGAAGGAGCTTATTGCACATGAGACATGACATTGAGTCATGTGATCAAGGTGGAGAAGATCAAGACAAGACTTGGCTTGATGGACCGGTTGCAAGCGTGAAGGGCAAGTCAAAGGCTTTGAGTGATGGACTGGCGTGGCGGTGAAGCTTGAGCAAGACTTGGCGCCGATGGGACGATAGCAACGGTGAAGAGCAAGTAGAGTCAAGATCGATGAACCAATATGATCATGTGATGATATGAAGTGGATCATATCATTGTTGATCGTGTTGGTGCATGTGTTGCATCGACATTGAAGGAGATGGAATGGAATGCGCAAGGCAAAGGTATAACCTAGGGCATTTCATTTCACGGTCATAGGTGTGTAGAGAAGTTTATGACCGGGTTTAGGATAGATGGCCGTACTATCAAGAGGGGCAAACTTGTTTGCATATCGGTCATCTAGTGCCACTCGAGTGATCTAACTTTGCATTGTCGCTAGGATCGAGTGGCGTGGCAAGTTGAGTGGCTAACATCCTTTGGGAAATGATTGTGAAAATGCTAACACACATACACATGGTGGTGTACACTTGGTGGTGTTGGCACATTTACAAAGGAGGTGATGTTTGCAGGGTGAGATGGGTTTGGGTCCCTCTCTCCTCCCCGCCGAAGCTTATGAGGTGATTCGGCGCTTTCGGGAAAATAGAATGCCTATTTTCTATTTGCGCCGGATGCAAGTTCTTGTGGTTAGCACATTGGAGCAAGGGTGATGAAGTTAGAAGTGAAAACGAAAGTTAGTCGCGAAGATCTTTGGCGTCGGTCAACCGACCGGACGCTGATCTCAATGCACCGGACGCTGGCGTGGTGCGTCCGGTCGGCCGACGTCTGATGACGCAGAAAGTGGAGTGTGACCGGACGCGGGCTGCGTCCGATCAAGTGTGACCGACGCGCGTCCGGTCGAGGTCGGTACCTTATTGGAAACGGCCGGACGCCGAGGTTGCCGCGTCCGGTCGGTTCTGCTGGAGCGTCCGATCGACGGATGACCGTTAAGATCCAAGTGAACAGCGTTTGAAGGAGGGGACACGTGGCGTGCATCGCACGACCGGACGCCGAGGTCGAGTCCGGCGTCCGGTCGATCGGACCGAGCGTCCGGTCGGCCCGACCGTTGCTTGATGAAGGGGTAACGGCTAGTTTAGCCCTTGGGGCTATAAATAGAAGTGGCCCTCGGCCATGGTGGTCTTGAGCACCTCAAGGGACTTAGTGTCCATGCTTGTGAGTGCTTGGGAGCCCTCCATCACACATATACTTGATAGTGATCATTCGATTGTGTGAGTGAGCGATTCTAGTGCGATTGCATCGTGAGGTTGCATCGAGTGGCACTAGGTGATCGAGTTGCAGAGCGGTGGTGCTTGTTACTCTTGGAGGTTGCCACCTCCTAGATGGCTTTGGTGGTGGTCTCCGTCGAAGCGCGCAAGAAGCTTGTGCGGCGCTCCGGAGAAGTGCTTGTGAGGGGCATTGTGCTCGCCATGTGAGCCATGAAGAGCAACTCTAGTAAAGCGTGTCATTGAGCTACCCTCACTCAAGGGGTAGGTTCTTGCAGCGCCCGACGTGCGGGCTTAGCGGGTGATGCTAATTAGCCGCCGAACCACCAAGTGAGCGGTTGACACAACGGGGACTAGCGTGTTGGCAAACACGTGAACCTCGGGAGAAAAATCATCGTGTCAACCTTGTTCTTCCCGTTGGTTTGCATCCCCATTACACAAGCTTGCAATTACTTATATATACATCTTAAGCTTGTGTAGTTGCTCTTGTAATTAGATAGCTTGTGTAGCTAGCTAATTACTTTCTTGCTTGTGTAGCATAGAAGTAGCTCCCTTGCGTGGCTAATTTGGTTTTAGTAACCTTGTTAGTCACATTGCTTAGTTTTGTGTAGCTAAGTATTTGCGCTCTCTAATTAGGCATTGGTTGCCTTGTTATTGAGCATTGCTAGTGAGCTTAGTTAGCTTTGTGCTTTTGCTTACTAGCATGTATAGGAGCTCCCTTGTTACTTAAAGTACTAGTGGCATAGGTTTGTGTGACCTTGCTCCTAGAATTGTTTAGGAGAGCTCTAGCTAGCCCGGCACCTTAGTTGCTTTATTAGTATCTTTGCAAGGTGCTAGTGAACATATATAGAGGGGTGTAGTCTTGGCTAGACCGATTGTTTTAATTCCGCATTTATATCGGTTAGCCGACGCGATTAAGTTTTAGAAAAGACTATTCACCCCCCCTCTAGTCCGCCATCTCGACCCTTCAGCAAGGCATGCCTAAAACTGAAATAAAATTGTCATTCTTGCATGTAGATGGACTTCGAGCAGCAAAGATCTGCCAAGGCTAAACAAGCTGCTGCCATGGTAGTTGTCATGGTTATCCTGGTTTCATCCAAATTGAAAAGGCGTAGAGAGGATGATGAGCCCATTTGTTATGACCCTAGGTTAGAAGCAGATGATCACAGGGAGAAGAATCTTTCTCTCATTTACAACTCAACTGATGTTGAGTGCATAGCCATGCTTAGGATGTGTAGAGCACCATTATTTCACTCTGTAATTTGTTTAGGCAGAGGGGCTTGGTTCTGGACTCCATTAATGCTTCTGTGGAGGAACAAGTTGCCATGTTCCTTCATGTGGTTGGGCATAATCAAAGGTTTAGAGTTGTGCACCAGAGCTTTAGAAGATCCATAGAGACAGTTAGCAGACACTTTCACCAAGTTCTTTTTGCTATTGAGGAACTGGGGGCTGACCTGATCAAACCACCTTATGGCGCAACACATCCTAAGATCCTAGGAAGTCATAGGTGGAACCCTTTTTTCAAGGTATTTGTTGGATGTCTTGGTTCATTATTCTGTCTGTAGAGTGTTGTTCACATAAGATTACTTATGTTTCTTCATTATTCATAGGACTGTATAGGGGCAATTGATGGCACCCATGTGTTGGCAAGGGTGCCCAGGCGCATGTAGGGGCCATTCAGGGGTAGGAAACAAAGTTGCACACAGAATGTGATTGCAGCTGTTGATTTTGATCTCAAGTTCACATATGTACTGGCTGGGTGGGAACGTTCTGCTCATGATGCACTTGTTCTAGCTGATGCTTTAGAGAGAGATGGGGGTCTGAGTGTTCCTGAAGGTAACATTGTCCACCATAGCTGGTTACTATTCCTTAAGCCATTTTGAACACTATTGTAAAACAATACAACATTGACTTTTAGGGAAATTCTATCTTGTGGATGCTGGGTATGCCTATAGAACTGGTTTCCTGCCTCCTTACAAGGGTGTCAGGTACCATCTATTTGAGTATGGTCCTAGGCATTATCCTACCAATGCCAGAGAGCTGTACAACTTGAGACACAGCTCTCTTAGATTGAACATTGAGAGGGCTTTTGGGGCTTTGAAGAATCGTTTTCGAATCCTAGATAACAAGCCATTTCATCCTTACAAGACTCAAGTAAAGTTGGTCCAGGCCTGCTGTATTCTGCACAATTGGATTCTAGGATTTGGGCATGATGTTGTCATCCCAACTGAGGCAGAGTGGGCACCAAAACCTGCTTCTTCTACTCCTGGGGCACCTGTCAATGAATTGTAGTCACAAGAGATGCCTAGAATATCATCACTTAGGGATGGCATCTCTGATGCAATGTGGGGAACAAGGGGAACTTCTAGGATTTAGCTATGCATTTCATGACATGAGAACATTTATGGAACTGTAATAATTCTTGGCTGCCTTGTATGGAACTAATGGTACTTTGTTAGACAAATGTAATGTTTTAATGGTGGACACCTCCTGAGACCATTTGTTTATGTAATAATTTAAGTTTCATTGCTATCATCTCAATGTATGGTTGTTGACATCATTGTTGTCGTGAATATTCAATGTAATAGATGTCTAGGACTGCTGGTGCTGGGTTTGTCAATGTAGCTGTATTGCTGCCTGGTGGGTCTGCTTTTGCCCCACCTGCTGGTGCTGCAGCTGGTGTAGCTGTTGCTGATCCTGCTGCTGTGAATGGTGTGGCTGCTGCTGGTTTTGGTGGTGTGCCTGCAGGGGCAGCTGCAGCTGGGGGGGGGGGTTGCTAGGCCAGCCATGAGGTGGACTAGTAACACTAGTGGCTTTGTGCTTAGGAGGATGAGCCAGCTGGTAGAGAGTGGGGCTAGAGCTGACAAGGGATTCAAGGACAAGGAGGTTAACCAGGTTGCCAAGGCCTTGAGGGAGTACTGTGGGGAGGAATTGTCCTCCACCCAGGTGTACAACCACCTTAGGAAATAGAGGTAGAGGTTGGGTAGAATCTGCAAACTTAGGGACCTCAGTGGCTGGGATGGACGTGTTCCATGGTTCCATGGCTGTCTTGTTTTTAATTTTCTCCTACCTATTTTTGGTCTGTTCAGGCAAACAAACACGTTTTACTATGTTTGGTTCTTTTAACGCAGTGCCACCCATGACATTATTGGGAAGCTATTACACATGATCATCTAGTATGAGGCCACATTTTTTTATTTTGCCTATGATGCAGTACATGGAAAGTTGAGGTATTTCAACTATAACCTGCCTGTGATGTCTACTATAATCTTGCTATGTGTAATCCAACTGTTTGTTTCTTGAGTTTGTCTACCACTTCAACTGGTGTATACAGCCTCATTGAACAAACTAATGGGTGGCACCTGAAACTTTTTGGATTGAGGCTTTGGTGCTTGGTCTATGAAGAGAAATGTGTGCCTGGTATGTTATTTTCAAGGGGTACAAACCTGGAGTGTACCCCAGCTAGGATCAGTGCGGTGAGCAAGTGCTGGGGTATCGAGGGACTGTGCATAAGAAGTACACGGGACCTCTATTTCTATGGTGAAATCTGCAGCACCAAGTTTGGCTATGAGCTACGAAAATGTTGTCATTATCTTCCTGTGTACTTTGGTTTTTGTCATGTGGATGAAGCTGAACAATTGCAAAAGCTGCTAGTAATGAACAGCTTGGTTATCAGTTTATTTTGTTAGACTAAATTGTGTTTTATCATGTTGTAATATGAGTTAAAGTGGTCCAAACAATTGCTATTGCATAGACTATTGTATGGCTTCATTTGTGCTATCCTGTGCTTGTTCGTTGACCTGCTCGAGACGTGCAGGCAAACAAACACCTTCCCAGACCGGCGGTTGGGAGGTAGTTGGGATCACTGGCAAGCCGTCTAGGCAAACAAACACAATCCGGCTTGGACCAGGCCCAGTTGAGAAAAACAACCAAACAAGGGGGTGTTGCAGCCGCTGGGCCTGCCCTTGCCTACCCTAGCTGGGCTGGTCCATGCAGGCTGGGTACGTCCAGGCAAACAAACACGCCCGTTACCTTTCTGTTTCGCATTAGATTCAGCTAAGGAACAGGAACATCTACCGGTCCCCATGTGTCGAAACTGCTCGAGTTTGCCAATCACTTTCCTCACATGGGATATTCCTGAGTGAGCTTATATTCCATGAAATTGGAGCACTGAAGCCCAGGAAAAAAACCTCAGACAGCGAGGACCCCCGAGCTATTTTAGCTTAAGGTAGAGGACTTTTCACCCAACCCGAGAAAACCCTCGAACCCTATGCCCCGCCCGCACACAGGGTCCCGTTACCTGGTGAGAGAGCCTGTCCATTTTATCTATGCTTTGGAAGCTTGGGACATGCGAGGTTTTTTTTCCACACCATTGACCAGAAATTCGTGTGACCAAGGATTCGAACTCTGGTCACGGAGGACGTCACCCGGAGGCTTAACCAACTGGTCTAGAATGACCTAAAACTGACATGATGTATTAATTTGCCAAATCCATCGACTTGTGTTGCCGCAACGGTCTAGTAATTTTAAGAGGCATAAGTACCAGAAAAAATATGTATAAACTTAAAACATGCTTCTAATAAAAAAATATTGTATTTGCTTTGTATCGTTTTGTCATATTCTAATAACACAACTCTTTAATACTTTATTCCTACTAGTAATTTAACTTTTTCTGAGATAGAATTGAGTTACAATTACTTTATCTACTTATCTATTTTTTTTTGTCCTTGTTCATATTTTTCCCCAATAGTATATCTATTTGAGTACATGTTGGTAATTTCATGCAAATTTAGAGGCTACTTTATTTTTTTTCTAATGGCATTTATGAGTAATGAAGAGGTAATTTAAGTTGTTTACATAATGACAATGATGTGAATTTAGATTAAGATTTAGGGGATTACTTTACTATTTTATAATGGCAAATATAGATAATTGTTTTTAGAAAAATAGAACATATCTTATGGCTATTATTGTCTACGATGATCAGCGTCATATCCTTCAAGTAGATGACGAGATGTCACTGATTTTTATGAGAACTTTATAATTTATTATGTTTTTTAGTTTATCTTGTAAATATTAATGCGGAGACTTAGATATAACATAAAGATACGCACGCACAGAGATAATTATACTAATAACACCCTAGAAAGTGATAAACCAGCCACACCACCGGTTTACACTCCAAAACTAGGCCTCTCAGCTAAGGCCGGCAAAAAAAACTTAGAAGCTCGTTAGCTCGCTCGGCTTGTTCTAATAACGAGCTGAGTCGAGCCAAGATTTTTACTGTTAGCTAAAACGAGCCAACTTCAACCAACTCGCGAGTCAAATGAGCCATGCTTCTAGGGGAGAAAAAAAGCAGCGGAATTTATATTAGTTTTTGTATTATTTCATGTCTTATACTTTACAATTGGTTGATGACTGGTCTAGACCCTATAAATTTGGGATTACTATGACTTTATCATTTTGTTTTTTATGAATGTATGGATACTCATGGACACATTATGTATGGTATGGAGTATGGACTATGGATGTATGGTGTAATACTATAGTATATTATTATACTTGTATATATGTTAGCACATATTTTTTTTTGATTTAATGCTATTGGATGTGTTCCTTTTGTATTATTACCATTCTCAAGCTTTAGATAAATGTAAATATTATATTTTGTGTACTTTTTATATCTGGTTTGCGAGCTTAATGAGTCATCTCGAGCTCGTAAACGAGCTGAACCGAGTTGGCCTTCTGACTCGTTAAGATAATGAGCCGAGTCGAGCTGTCTCGTTACCCGGCACTGCTCTCAACAATACAGTAATTCTCATTGATGCTCCTGTGCCAGGAAAAGCACAAGCACTTGAGTGATTATCCTCCAGCGTATATATAATTATCATAAAAAATTAAAAAGTGGACACCGTTTTGGTGTGATATTTTTCGTTTGGGTCGTCGTCCCGCCTCTTGCGATCCCACAAGCCTCGCTCCCGTCCGCCCCCGGCTCCCTTGCGACAAAAATCAAAAGGAAACAAACCTCACTCGGTAGGAAAGAAACCTCGCTCCCGTCCCCCAGGCTCCGCATCCGCCACCGCCGCCGCCGCCGCCTCAAGAGCCCACCGGCACCCGCACCCGCCCGTAGCTGGTTGCGTCGCCGCCGCCGCCGCCCGCGCCCGCTTGCGGATGGTGCTAGCCAGTGTCGACGAGGAGGAGGCGCGGTGGACGGGCCGCCGCGGCGTGCGCCGGCGTCTGCCGCTGCTGGAGGGCCGCCGTGAATGAGATCGTTGCGCGTCCCAGAGGCGTCAGGGAAATTCACCTTCCCCATCTCTCTCAAGTAGGTTAGTTTGGATCCCCCACGAACTCTAAATCTATTCTGTGTTTGATGGTCAACCTTGGTGTTTTGTAAAAACTTTATGTATCACCAGATTTTTTTTCTTTTCACCTTGAGTAGTCATTGCCAGTGATGGTCTTGGCCATACTGCATTCATCATTTGTTTGGGTCAAAACCTCCATGTCCGGTTTGCGTGTGTAACCCTTCGTCGTCACCGGAAGACATCAGGCAGAATTCCGTTGTTGGTACTACCTACCTGATGATCATATTTGTTTAATAATTTTCAATTCTTATTAAGCACAAGAAATTTATCGAGAAGGTTAGGTAGGTCCAGATACTATTCTATACTCATAAGAGGTAAGATTAGTAGACAATTCTTTTTGAATTTGTTGGTTAAGTCAATTTGCTTAGAATCAAGTATGCAAGGCCAAATGTTACTTGAGGAGACAGTCGGCTTGTTTTTATAGTCGGCTCTGTCAAATGGTGGACAGATTCTTATTGCCGTTTTAATAAGAGGATTAATGCTTGATTTGTCGTTCCTTTGACTCTGAAATTTTATTCATCGATTTATTTGTGTTTTATTAATTTGCAATTTCAAATCTCTATACTGCAGCCTGGTCCAAGGGATAACCATCAATGCGTTGAGAACTCAATGAGGCAGAAATGTTGGATCAATGGGTGCTATATTTCTTTACCGCTGCCAGCAGCTTGTATACTGACAGAGAAACAATCTTCGGTAGTAACTTAATACTCAGATGGCGCTTGCCTCTGTGCGGCGCACACGCGGGAGTGTTCGGCTGGCTGTTTCAGCCAGCTTATTTGCGGGCTTATAAGCACGGTGCATTAGTTTTCTCTCTAAAAAAAATCAGCCAAACAAATTAGCACCAGCGGCTTTACCCTAAGTTGAACACTCCCGCGGTCTGTGCTCCGGCCCCGGCCCTGGCGTCGGCGGCCAGCCCCGGTTCCTGTGAGGGTAGCTCCAACGACAGGACCGGTTCCTCAGCCTGCGGGGCCACGGCAACCGGGTACCAGATTGATGCGCACCCAACCTCCCTTCTGGTTGTGCAGTATGGTCGTCTCTGTGCTCTGTGCCTTCACGAGGCAACTTCATGGATTCCTCCCGCGGCTGCAGGCAAGGCCCCAAACCTGAGCTGCTTTGTTGTGTTTACTCATGCCATCCTATTGATTTTGATCCTTTGCTTATTTGCTTGTTCCATTGGGTATACATGATGGACGACAGGCTGGAGCAGAGCAAGCTAGCCCACATAACAATATAGTGATGTCTTGCTTGTTCAACGCTGGGAAAAAGATTCTGGGAGGTTTCGCTACTTGGAAACTTATTTTCTCTTTGGTCTCAAGCTTGATTATTTTAGCTACACTACGACCATGCCAAATCATGCCTCTGACTGTTAGATAGTATATCAGGTAACACAGTAAACTACCCTTGGTATTATATTATGATATGCCTATAAACAAAGACCAAATCAGTTGTTCATGTACCTATTTATTGAGAAAAAATAGTGCTGGTGTACGGCTCTACTAATTTATCAACCATATAAATGTTTAGATTTCGACACTCAGGTGCTTCAAGGTGAAGGTATAACCTATTCCTTACCCACCTTAAAAGTCATGGTGGTAGTGCCGCAGACAT